TCTTCATTATGCCGCAGCGGCGCTTTAAGTTCAAGCTGTGCCGCCTGGCGCGTGGTGAACGCAGCCTCGACTCGCTGCCAATTATCCAACTCTTGCTCCCCTTCTCCGTCTCTCTCTTCCTCTCACTCCTTTCTCCCTCTCTTGTTCATTCTGTTCTCTCTATCTGCTGTTTATTTCCTGAGAACTCGTCTCGCCAGGGCGAGTTGTCGACTTTCTCTCTCTCTTTCTGTCCTCTTTGCCCCTGCGAAAGTTCTCAAGAAAAAGTTTCACACGTCTTCTTTATATATAAATATATATATATGTGTGTGTGTGTGTGATTTTTTTTTTTCCTCCTTTTCCTTCCCGTTCAGAGTATTTTTTCTTTGTTTTGCATTCACTGATTAGAGGAAATTTCTCAGATGAGTTCCAGTTTTGTTTGCTTCAGGTTTCTCTTTTGGATGCGGAGTGGCGAGGAGGAAAAAAAAAAAAACCTCTTATTCTCCACGTCAGCAAAGCCTACAGTAGCGGCGGTGTGATGTTTTCCTCTGTGTGCATTGTAGGTTTTCATGTTCGCTTTGGACCTGATGTGAAAGAGAAGCTGAGGAGTGCATTATTCCCCAAAGCGCCCGCTGTTTCAGATGTGCCTCGTTTTTTTTTTTTTTCCCTTTTCCCCTCCTTTATGTGGGGATCTGGAGATTGTCTGATAGATCTGGCCTCGCTCTCACTGTTTTCCCTTCCCTCACTTTCTCTCTGTAGCTTTTTTTTCCCCCTTTCCGTCAATTCATCTCTTTGTCTCTGATTCTTATTCTCTTGATTTGCGATGGCACACTCTGTTTCCCGCTCTTTTCTTCTTTCAAAGTTTGCCTGACAGCTCACTTTAAGGTATCGCTGTGTGCACGAGGTATTAGATTAAGTCAGTCTGCAGCTGTAAAGGAACGTAAATGGGAAGGAATGCACGGAGACGGGATCCACTCTGATATCATATGACACCAGCGCACACCCATGATCTCGTGCGTTCCCTTGTTCCTCCTCTTAACTTGCGAGCTTTCCGCCCTGTGAGGATGCTAAGCTAGCAGCATGGGAATGATTCTCCATTCTTTTTCTTCTTCTCTTTTCTTTTTAAATCGCTGCCTGATCTTCTTATCCCATTGTGGAGACTTATATGTGTTGTGTAACACTTCTGTAGGCTGATTAATGTGCCGCCTATTGTGTGCAGGCTGGCAGAAACAGAGAGGAGACTTGGATGCTCTGGATTTTCTGTGATATTTTCAGAGAAGGAATCCATGTGCACACACTGACGTCATGCAGTTTACTGTACGCGGCGGCGTGTTTATGTACAGTATGTATGTACTACAGCTGCCGCAAACTTATCCTCCTCCTCCTTCTCCTCCTCTTCTTCTCCTCTCCCCATCCTCTCCCCTCTCCTCCCTCCGGTACATTACAGTACTGCTAGCCAGCTCTACTCCAGCATATGTCCAATTAGGCCTGAAAGGCAAAGCAGAACTGTTCTGTCTGTGATTCGTCCCCGCGGGGGTCCTGTCCGAGCGTCGCGCTGGAACGCCTCCCCCTTCTGATCGCGCGGCGCAGGCGGCGCGACGGTTTATGGTTAACCAAAATGGTGGAGTAATTATTGTTTTTGGTGTAGAGGGGGGAAACAGGAGCCGCTTGAAGAGAGCGCTATTCCCCTGCGCTGTGATAGTTTGATTACAGTGCTGCTGGCTGCCGCATGCCGACACACAGGAGCAGCAGGAAGAAGGGGGGAGGACGAGCGCACTCAGACGAGCGCACACACTTTTACAGTACACTGTAAAAGCGCTGTTAGCGCTGAGCGACGGCGGCTCTGCCTCTCGTCTCTATTTACCTGTCTCAAGCACTAACCGCCTCAAGTGCCTGCATCGCGGCGATATTACCTGATTGTGCCGCGCGTGTGCTCCAACCGCCGTCCTTATGATTGTGCAGCCATTTCCAGCCATTTCCATCATTCCAGATCAATTTTCCACATCAGACAGCTTTTACCTGCCCATTATCCTATTCAACCATTACCTCTCTGGCCTCCTGGCAAAATAAGAGCGGCAGAAGAAGATTGAGAGAGATGAGTTGCAAAGAGGGAGCAAAGTGCTGCGCAACAAGACGAGTGCAGGTCAAAGGCCTAAAGACCCCATCGGGGATTTGATTTAAAGGGCCACTCCGCCAATTTAACACATAAAGTTTAGTGCGCTTGTCTTTTTTTTTTTTAAATGTGTTTTCGGTGTGAGAGGGAAACGGGTGGCTCTAGACAAGGAGCTCCATCGATACTGGTGCTGATACAGGTTTTTAGACTGTAAGAAATTCAGATGCTGACATTCTTTATATATATTTATACACATATATGCTCAAGTAATATTGAGAAATGATTGATTAACTCTCCACTAATGTATGTCACCACGTC